GGAGGCCCTTTTCCTCCCTCCCCAGGCTCCAGAGGCTCTCTGGAGGCCAGAAACAGGCTCATTTCCGGCCTTCCAGAGCCTAAGGGAGGCCCATTTTTCACCCTCCCCGAGCCTCCGCACAGGCCCTGCACTTACCTGGGATCCAAAACAGGCCATGTGGAAACTCCTGGGGGGGGGCGGCGGGGGGGGGGGGGGGGGGGGGGGCAGGGCCAGCAAGTCATTGCAACTACCGGTTTGGCAAACTAGACATGAAATTAACAACCGGTTCATCCAGACAGGTGCGAACCAGTAGCAGCCCACCCCTGAACCCAGGTCAACTGCATGGAAGGCAGCTATGCTCATCACGATGCCCCCAACGCTTTATAAGAGATGGGATGCAGAAGATTCATGAGACGCACCCACGCTTCATGAGATGAGATGCAGAATCAAACTTGTTGGAATGGGGAAGGATAGAAGAGAGGAACGATTTTTCCAATGATGTAACTAATTGCAATAAAAGAAAGGTGTCAGCACAAACTTTAGATTAACTCCTTGCTTTCCAGTTCTTATGCACCTCAATGTTTTTCACCCACTTCCTGTATGTAGCTGGCCACCAAATTCACAGTATTAAACCCCAGTTTCTATGGCTGCTTCTGCTGGGTAGGGAAGACAATTAAAGAAGCCCATGAGAAGCCCAACTCCTGATGAGGTTCAAGAGAATAATTGTGATCTTTGAGAAAGCTTGCCAAGGTTGGGCTGAAAACTGCCTAATGCCATGGTAAGGCCTGAAGGCAGGTATATATCATTCATCACATGAGTGTATCTGTTTCCACCTCCTACACTTTTTCCCCTAAGTCATTTCATGTTGAAACTATGTCTTTCCAAAGGCAAGTACAGCCAAGAATCTTGTGAAGGCAAGGAGATTCCATCTATTTCCCGCTAGATGCCAACTAGAAGGACAATGGCCCATGTCAAGACAACTTTACAAAGAGAACATTTAGCACAAACTGAAATTCAGTAGCTGGCAGATTTTAATTTCAGAACAGGGTCCACAGATAGAACCAGAAACATCAGACTACCTGTTTGTCTGTTCTTTCAAACTAGAGAAAAGGCAAATTAATCAGAGACTAAAGGAAGTCTCTGAAGCTATAAAAAAGATTTGACGAGGAAAACTATTTGGACCAGATGGATTATCAGGGTCTTATTACAAATGCTTTGTGGATGAACTTTTACAACCTCTCCAAAATATGAACTCTTATCTTAGAAGGCGATAAAAGCCAGAGTTTTAGAAAGAGGCCAACATAGAATTAATACTGAAAGAAGGACAAGATTTAACTTATACAAAAATCTATATAGTCCTCAACCAACAACCATAATGGAGCCTGCCTACCTTGGTTATAAATTGTGATTGCTACAAAACAGGTATGTCATGCAATAGATCCATTTTTTTGACCTTTTCTGCAGTGGTTATTAAGTAAATCCATAGTTGTTAAGCAAACACTGTGGTCATTAAGTCAAACTAACGGTTTGATATGGGTCTGATTTAGTTGAAAACCAGAAGTGCCGATTTTCGACAAAACTGTCATAAAACACGGCCATGTGACTGTGGGATGCTGAAAATGGCCGTAAATGCAGCCCTGTTGCCAAGCACTCCAGATCAACGTCAGCATTAAAGTTTTAGAGGTGAGAAGGCCTTTGACAATTTAAATTGGCCCTTTATGTTTAAAATTTTAGAAGATCAGAACTTCGGAGAGAATTTTATAAAATGGGTAAAACTGATTTATACTTCACAAATTATTATAAATCAAGATTTAACAAAACTTTGTAGTATACAAAAGGAACAAGACAAGACTGCCCATGATTCCCACTTTTTTTTATTTTGGTTCTTGAAATGTTGAATAGAGGTACAAAGCAAACTGAGCGGATAATGGGTGTAAACGCCCCCCCCCCCCCGAGTTGGAGCTTCTACAGACCATTTGACACAGGTTCTTGAAGGGGGTCTAAAACATTAATGAGAAATTAAAATAATTTGGTGCTTTAACTGTTTTTAAGATTAATAAACAGAAGACAAAAGATGCTGGAAAAAATATAAAGTCAAACAGAATTGATCAATAAAATGGGTTTGAAGATTGACAAAAAGTTAAAATATTTGGTGTTAATTCGACAAATATGTTGTATGTTGTTTCAAAATAATTATGTTATGTCAGGATGGGAAACGATGCAAATGCCACTGATGGGAGAATTTCTATGATTAACAATTTACTTAGAATGTTTCTTTTAGATAAGACTGTTTTGACAATTGATGTACTATGGCAGAAAGACATATCTAAATTTGTGTGGCAAGCTAAAAACCGTTAGATATAAGGTGTTACAAGATGCTAAAGAAAGAAGAGGCTTAGTTTTACCTGATTTGAAATTGCATTTTGCAGCTTGTTGTTTAGTTTGGATGTTGAGAAACAGGTGGTTTTACTGCATGGGCATGATTTGAGTTTTGACTGGCATGGCTACTTATGGGATGATAAAAGTTGGTGTAAGTTAAGATTAATGTGGATTTCAAAAATCACTTTAGTTAGACATATCATATTAAGAGTATGGAACAGATACAAACTTAGGTTGTGTTCAAAAATAACTTTGTGGTTTCACCATAAGAAGCATATTATAGAGTCATTGGTGCTTTCTAAGCTTGGTTGTTTTCCTGCAGACGTTTCACTATCTAACATGATCCTTAGCACTGAAAATGTTACCTACTTGGATAATGAAATGTCTACAAGCAAATAATCAAGCTTAGAGAGCAGGAAGGAGCCCGTAGTTCAATCCTGAACTACAAATATTCTCTTCTATTGACCATAGAAGAGAGATAATAATTAAGCATAATTGGTTAATCTATGGCAATAATTCAAATTTTTGCAGGGAGGAAATCAAGACACAATTTGATATCAGAAGGGTTCATATGTCAACCGTTTTCATTAGAACGGTTCAAAGTATGTAAAAGGACTTTTGGTTTTGAATATGGCAAGACAGAATTTGAAACAGAATAATTTACAAAGGATGAACACCTTATTGCTAAAATGTATTAATTCTTACTGAAAATGAACAATAGTCTATGGAGATTCTCAGTCATCCAGGTCATGGTTGTCCCAAAGGTGCTTTTTCAAGAGACTTTCTGGCTTTTCTTTGAAGATGTTTTGCTTCTCATGGGCAATGGAAGGATTTATACTGGATTCCCCACCATCCAATCAGCACTGAAGAAGCTTCTTGGATGAGAAGCAAAATGTCTTCAAAGAAAAAACAGAAAGTCCAGTTGCCTCTTGAGAAAACACCTTTGGGAGAAGATGAACAAGTGAAAGAAGGCACAATAAAATGGACTAAAAACATAATCTACAAATAGTGGGAGAATACATGGATGAAACAAATGAGATTCACGTTGTGTTGTAATCTTAAAGAAAATTTCATAAAACGATGTATGGTTGATATTTTTCATCAGAGCAAAATTGTCTAAAACATATACAGGAACCTCATATGAATGCTGGAAATGTGAACAAGAGGGGACTTGTAAAAAAGTAGACATGTAAAAAAGCTTTTTTAAAAATTGGATTCAAATACAGACATTCATTCAGAAGACCGTAAAGATCTTAAGCATCTGAAACCAGAGATATTCCTTTTGGGACTAATGAACAAATATCTGGGGGAAAAAACTCATGGAACTTTATTTTTACATATGATAGCAGCAAGTTGTTTATATGTACACAATGATCGAAAAATTTGACATTACTTACAGTGGGAAAATTGGGTGGTGAAGTTGATGAGATAGTGAAAGTGACACCTTTGATTAGAGAAAAGACAATAATGCTGATTGAAACCCCCTTTGAGACTTTTTGCATGAAACAGGAAAAAATGACAATGGATTTGATAATTACATAAAATGATAGGTCAGTGGTTGTCAAACCTTTTCTTCACCACGGAACCCCTATAAATACCTTTTGTGGTCAAAGATCATGGCCATGGACCACCAAGACTTAGCTCAAGATTTAAATCATAACATTTCTTCAAGCCTTCATGGACCATCTGTTAAATCGTGGGCCACTCAGGGATCCGTGGGCCACAGGTTGAGAACCACTGTGGTAGATCCTAAAGAAATGAAAGCTGCGTTGTAAAGGCTTCAATATGAATTTATATTCATATCTACTGCAAAGAAAAAGTCAGAATCACTTCTTTGCATTTGGGGTTTTTTTTCCCCCCTTTTTCTTTCTGCACTTTTGGCTTTGCGTTCTTTTCTCATTCTTTAACCTGTTCATTTCTTCTACCTTAATTACTACCAGTGTTTATCTCTATATCTGAAATCTCTAATAAAATTACCTAAAAAAGAAAAGAAAACTCAAATCATCTGAATGGCTTCTCTTACTCATCAACAGCTCGAAAGCATCGAGGTTTTTCTGTCAGATTCCAAAGGCAAGGAGCATCAATGGTGTTTAAAAAAAAACCACAAACCATTTGTCTGTCTGCACAGAAGAGGAACTGCCAAAGACTCATAGAGCAGAGTTCATTCATACTGACTCGGGCCATCAACCAACAGGCGCTTCTGCAAAATGACTTCGAGGAAGCGTTTATATTCAAGGAACACCCTTTTATTTATTTTTTTTAAAGACTTTTGAAGGAACGTGGCTAAACTGCAGGCTAATTTCCCTTCAACAGTATATAGAGCACGGGGAAGCTAACAGCCAGCATGGTACAGGTGAAGGCTGTACTATAGATGGAGTTCTTCCTCATTTGGGCTTCCAACCTCCTTTCGGTGTTGCACAATTCAAGCACCACCTCTTCTGCCTCTAAAGCCTGGCTCTTCACCTCTGTGGGAGAGCTAAGCAACCCCCTTCCCTCAGGTACAGGCTGAGGTACAGCTTTAATGTTCTGTACTTCACGGACCATCTGCCCTAAGTTGTTTTCCAAATTACTAAGCTGCTCCTGCAAGCTTCCAAGGAACGAACTGATCTGTTTAGAGTAGACCAGCTGCTCCTTCACAGAAACCAAGACAGGGTCTATTTTTAGTGAGGTGCGCGATCCGTCTTTGGTCAAGGAAGCCTCTTCTCCTTCCTGGGACGTCACCGTGGCAAGTTGCAGGATGTTCTTCAGACTGGCGGTGAGGTCACTGAGATCCTGTTTCTGGGAGTGATAGGCGGTGGCTTGATCTCGGATGGCTTCCTGAAGGCTCGCAGGGCCCTTCTGGGCTTCGAAAACTAAGGCCTTTAATTCCTGCAACCTAACTCGGTTGATGTAAGTGGAACCCAAGACGCCGATCACGGCCCCCAACACGGAGCCAATAATGGACCAGTTCTTCGTCTTCTCAGCTCTCGTCCTCTCTTTTTCGTGACTTTCCCGGACGGCGGCAGAGAAGAGAGAGAAGGCTTCCCGCTCAGATTCTTCGGCTGTTAGGTAGTTGATCCGGTACCTTTTCTCTTCCTGTAAGAAAGCCAACAGGTCTTATGAAAAGCCATCACCCCCCACAAGGCGTCAGGAGTAGGTTAAAAGCCTGAAGAGGCAGAATAAAAGAAACCCAATGCATCAGACGAGATGGAATGAAGTCGGCCCCATTTTACCACTCCCTGCTCATGTGCCTGTTTCAAGTATTTGCTAAAGTATTTAATATCAAGTGTTTGATATTTGAAGATGGGAATGAAATATCCCACCTGCTGGTTTCTGCAGGTCAAGCTGCTGAGAAACACACGTGGGGCCATTTAAAAAAAAAAAACAACTATAAGGTATGCTGATATGCCTGCAGATTTGCTGTCAAGGGTCATCTGCATATGATCTTGGCTTAAAACTTAAAAGTGAATGCATACTGTGGTTTTACAGGTAGTCATCGAAGTACCACGGCAATTCAGTCTGGAAGTTTCTGTCGCTAAGCGATGCAGTTGTCAGGGAAAGCGCAGAGGGCACAGTGCGGGTCAGAGAGGCTACCCAGGGGTGTGAAACAAATCAGGGGAGATATGTGAGGGTCTGGTGCAGGTTGGGGATGGTGCAAAAGTTGCAAGGGGTTTTAGGGAAGGCGTAGCACGGGTCAGGTAGAATGCATGATGGTGCAGCATAAATCGGGGGAGGGGTGTAAGGATATGGGGGAGGATGTGAGAAGTGTGAAGAGGGTGAGTAAATGGTGTGCAAGAGGCACACCAGGAAGCAGAGAGGGTGCAAGGGTGTGCAGAGAGGGTGCAACAAATGAAGCCAGAATGGCAGACCCCCTCTGTGAGGGAAATGGAGCAATTGAAAAAGGTCACAAATAAATACATAAAAATAATAAATACATAAATAAATAACAGGTCAGAGGGGTGAGAAGGTGAGAGGGGCTTGGTACTGTTTTGGGGGAATGAAAGTGGGTGTAAGTGGGCTGGGAAATGATTGGGAGACAGGGCAGGACACAAAGTCTAATGACTCAATAGGAATCAAAGCAGGAACTCTTGCCAGAAATGTCCCATACACTGACCAGGTTTGTGTATTTTGTTAACTGCAGAATATTGAAGCTTTTTTTTTTAATAAATCACAAGAGGCTACATTCACACATTACCCTAAGCTAGAACAGATCATACTGCATAAAGTAGACATAAAACTGATATCTGATTGTAGGATTCATCAAATGTTCTTCAAGAAACACTCATTTGATGTGCGGGCTTTAAAGAATAGAACGGAATCTTTTGCATCCTTACTTCTAAGAACTCTATGCAGGAACCCAGGAACAGATGTTTCTAGCCTTGTTAGAATGCCATCAGTTGGTATAGCAGTACTGAGTTGGACTGGTCTATCATTTCAGCAGCAAACATCCATCATATGGTCTAGGTAGCAAACTGGAATCTCCCCAACCAGACTGCCAAATTAACTTAGTTTTTCAGGATCAGAAGCACCAACATATACAGAAAATGGTTCATTCATTCATTCATTCAGTAAATTTATATAATGCCCAATTCACTCACGGTGACTCCAGGCAGCTTACAGAAATAAAACCCCAAATAATTCTTACCCAAACAAACCACTTAATGGGCTCCATATCACCCTGGGGTCCCCAAGCCTAGGCGTCTTCATGGCCTTTCAAAAGGATATTGGTAGGTACCAATGGCCTCTCCATGGGGATGATGTTCCACAGGGAGGGAGCCACTGTGAAGAAGTCCCTTCTTCTTGGTCCCACTAGATTGGAGTTCCCCAACCTTTCTGGCCTTGCGGACCAGCGGGGAGTGGCAGGGTGGGAGAGGGGATGGTTCAACATGAGCAGCCAGCAAGCAATTGTATGCACTGCAGCTCCATTTGCTCCCTTGCACACGCTCACTCACTTCTTGCACTAGTGGCACATGTGTTTGCCTGCAGCCTGTTTCCAAATGGCTCACGGCCTCAAAGTGGGCTGCGGCCTGGGAGTTGGGGACCCTGGTACCCCTGAAGAGGGGGAACCTATAACATTTTCTGCCTCCCTGCTCTGGTGGCTCAGGCAGATACATGGAAAAGACAGCCCTTCAAATAACCTGGTCCCAAACCATGTAGGGCTTTAAAGGTGATAACCAGCACTTCGAATTGTACCCAGAAGCAAATCAGCAACCAATGTACCTCTTGCAAGAGAGGGAGCGGATACATGTGCCTATCTAAACATTCACAAAATGATGCAGGCCACTGCATTAGTATTGGTCCATCTATATTACCAATACTGACTGGCCCCAGCTTTTGGCATTAGGATTAGTGAATGAAGCTGGGATCTTGGATCTTTAGACAAAGCAAGTGCTATAAAGTTTGCCTCTTAAAATGGGCACAGCCACACACACCTGAGGGGTGTTTTTAAACCAGGTAAAAGTAAAACCGATTTAAAATGGGCAAAGCCCATTCCGGAGCTTTTAAGAATGGTACCAAGGAACTTTACAGAAGACTCAATGTTAATAAAAGAGTTTGGGGCCCCAACTGCAACCCTGGGACCTCAGAATTCCCCTAGTCAAAAATCACCAAGGATTGCCAAGGATTGCAGTTTCACCAAGGACTGCCTGTCTGATTAACATGGATGAGCGCAATCTGCTCCTCAGCATGATTTGTTCAAGAGTAAATTTCAAAAACTCTAATGGGATTTACCTCCTAGTAATTAACAGAATGCAGATTAGAGGCCTACATGGAAAGGGAGATGCCAGATGTTCAAGCTAGTAAAGGATGAGGAACACAAGACATTATTGCTGAGGGATGCTGGATAATTGGGATAGACAAAGAATACCCCCCAAAAAAGGCAGTTCATTGATTATAGACAGGCTTTTATATTGTGTTGAATATGTCAAATTGTAAATTGTGTTGTTTTTTTAAATGAGAAACCCGGCTCATCTAATTTGGTCCTAGACCAAAACCTATACATAGGTCAGGAAGTCACAGTACAGACCGAACTTGCAAAACAGATCAGGTCCAGATTTACAAAGTTATACACCGGTAATCCTTGATTTCCAACCACAGTTGAGTCCAAGATTTCTGTTGCTAAGCAAGACAGGTGTTAACTGGATTTTGCCCCATTTTACAAGCTTTCTTGCCACAGTTGTTAAGTGAATCACTGCAATTGTTCAGCTAGTAACATGGTTGTTAAGCGAATCTGGCTTCCCCATTGACCTTGTTTGTCAGAAAGTTGCAAAAGGTGATCAAATGTTGTGGTTAGTCGGCAGCAGGTGCAGACGGCTGAGGAGAGCGAGGACTCAAATGAGGAGCCAGGACCATTAGGGAATGGACTGCTGCCTTCGGAGATTGTGGGGGATGGCAGCAGTGATGAGGAGTTTCCTGAGGAGCCTGTGCCAAGTGCACATGAGTGTAGGATTGCTCGGAGGAAAGAACAGCACGGGTGACTCGGGAGTAAGGCTGCAAGGTAATGGCCCCCCCTTCAAAAAGATTAAAGCCAGCTGTGAACGAACATACTTTGCAGAAGGCAAAGGTGTTTTGAAAGTCAGCCTCATGGACATTCCAGTATCCTGAGTTTGTATTTGAACATTTTTGTCTTGGAAATTATTTCTTGTCTGTTATCTTTTAGCAAGCCTCGCACAATTTGGCAAGGCTTGTGCTTATCACAGCTAATTATTTTGTAAAAACATTACAAGGTTTTTGTTCTTTTTGGATTGTGTTTAATTTGTCGGAAAAGGGCGTGGGTCAGAACATCAAATGATTCCGGGACATTGCAACCGTCATAAGTACATGGCAGTTACCAAACATCCTAATTTTGACCACCTGATCATGCGGCTGCTGCAACTGTTGTTGAGTGTGAAAAATGGCCATAGGTCACTTTTTTCAGTGCCACTGTAACTTTGAACAGTCACTAAATGAATGGCTGAGGACTATCTGTATTCTCCTTTTATTTACTTCAGTCTATATGGAAAATATATATTGACAAAAATTGGATTGAAGAAGGTGGTCACGGTTTCAAAATTGAAGGAAAAAACATGAATAACCCGCACAACGCTAATAATTCTGTTCTGATAGTTGGAAATGCAAATGATCCACAAACTCTAATAATGAAAGAGAAGGAACATGGTGGAAAAAAAATAAACAAAATGAAATGTAAAGGCAGCTGGTGTAGCAAACAGCCTTTGAACTGACAATTAAGATACTAAACTGGTAGACAGCATCTGGATTAACTATCAGTAGAAAAAGAACTAACATCCAAAATATGCCACACGGTAATGCCTAGTAGAGCAGCCATGAAGATCTTGCAAAAGATATTCAAATGGTGGGACCTACGATCAGAATGGTGTAGAAAAATGATCTTCCCTTTGAAAGTCTTAGAAGTGAAGGTTGGAAATTCGACTTGAAGGAATATCAATGTTGTTGTTATTTTGAACTTTGGTGTTGGAGAAGATTCTACAGAATATCAATTAAGAAAATACACCAATGGACCATTGAACAAATGAAGTCTCTCAAAGATATAAATAACCAGGTTCAAATGATCATACTTGGTGCGCGTTAGGCAAAGACCTCACTCTCTAGAGGAGTCTATAATGCTAGGAAAGATGGATGGAAAAAGAAGAGGATGACCATCAGCAAATGAATGGACTCAGTTATAGATGTGATGGATACACCGTTGGAAGACCTCAAGAACGTGACTGAGGACAGATCAACCTGCAGAAAGTCTACCTATATGGCCATGAAGGGTCAACACTGACTCCATGGCACATAATCAATCATTCAATTAACAGAAGATTAGGCTAGCAAAGGCTCCTAGTCATAATAGCTAAAGTTGAGTATCGGTGAGAATACTTTTATTATACTTGCTTTGAAGATCAGAGGGAGAGGATTATGTCCTCAATATATATTTGAGGGCTTCCCAAGCCACATCTGATTGGTCCTTGCGGGAAGAAAACACAGGACAAAAAGCACTTTGCTTGGATCTAGTTGGGTTTTCTTACATTCTGATTAAGGTCACTGCTGCAGCCTTGTTCAGATAGGATGACCAGCTAGACACATTCCAGATAGCA